TCCTAACTCATCTCGTTTCTATATAGCTGGAGGTGTTCTAGACAAAAAAGCAGACTCCAATGAAGGAAGGTGGTGCTCTATGCACTTAAAATGGAAGGAAGAAGAATTCATGCTGATCAACATCTACGCTCCCAGCAGCCCAATGGAGAGAGCTGCCTTTGTGACAAGCCTGGGAAACATGATTCCTCCGCTCACATAGTGTATAGTGGCCGGCGACTGGAATGCCACCCTTGACCCGGTAACAGACCGTATTTCTTAATCTTCCAACATCTACAACACCCAAGAGGCGACACCGATCAGGAATCTGATGGTAGAACATAGGCTGATAGAACCATTCAGAACCATACATCCCACGTCAACAGCCTTCACACTAGTCAAGAAGAGCCACATCAACCACACAGCCTTCTCATGCATTGACTACTTCCTAATCTCTGAACAAATGATGGGAACGGTCAAAAGTACAAAGATACTGCCACTAGCACCATACTCAGGCTTAAATCATAAACCAATCGAGCTGACGATAAGTTTCGAACAATTGATAAAGAAAGGAGTAAATTTTCACAAACTAAACAATTCCTTGCTATTAAGCTAGACGTTCCAAGAGGGGATAAAGCTTTGCTGGCAAGATCGAAGATCTAGTAGATTACCCACTTATGACCGGTGGGAATGGTTCCAAAAAAGCTACTATAATCTCTCGACGACAGCAGCAAAAACGTCAAGAAAATTAGCAACGACAAGGAAACAGAGGAGACTGAATCTAGAGACGGCATTAAAAATCGCAGAGGTTAACCTGAGCCGTAATCCGGATTCAACGATATACACTGAAATCTTTGAAAAAGCAAGGGAAGAATTAGCACTATGGAGGTGGTGGGATCTGAAAGGGCTACAAATAAGAGCGAGAATGAATGAATACGAGCTAAGCGAATCTATGACCAAGCATTTCTTTGCTCGAATCAAATCAAACTCAAGGGTATCAACCATAGAAGGCCTGAAATCCCTCACCACCTGGAGGAGTCTGTGACAACCAGCGAAGGTATGCTCCAAATAGCCAAAGATTTCTACAAGGACTTGTATGAGACCAAAACCCACATGCCAGTCCCATACGCCGTAAAGGAAGCAAGGCGCAGGATGCTGCAGTATCTAGACAAGACAGTATCTACGGAGCAAATGGAGGCCCTGGATAAACCACTAACAATGGACGAACTCCTCCATGCCCTCAATAATATGAATAGTGATAAATCCCCAGGGATAGACGGGTTAACCAAAGAATTCTGGGTAAAATTTTGGCCAACTCTTGGGGGAGACCTAATGAAATTTTATAAGGACAATTGGGACAAAGGGGGCCTGGGCAATCTCTTGAGCAGCAGTGTGGTCACATTGCTGTACAAAAAAGGTGACAAAGAAGACATCAGAAACTACAGGCCCATCTCACTACTAACCCTTCCCTACAAGATCTTAGCAAAAACCCTGTCCGCCAGAATCGCGAAAATAACAAATAAATGCTTCCATATAGATCAATCAGAATTCATTCTGGGGCGTTACATACTAGACACTGTGATGACCCTAAATGAATCAGTGAATAAAATCAGACAAAGAAAAATAAACACAACAATTCTCTTTTTTGATTTTGAAAAAGCTTACGACCAAGTCAATTGGTCCTTTTTGGATGCGAGCATGGAACGAATGGGCGTGGGACCCAACTTTAGAAAATGGGTACGTATATTATATAAGGATGCCATGGGCTGCGTACAGGTGAATGGGTTTTTATCGGACAGCTACCCAATCTCCCGGTCTGTTCGTCAAGGGGACCCGCTGGCGCCCTCCATCTTCCTATTTGTAATGGAGGCCATAGCGTCCTTCCTGCGAAAAGACCCATCCATTCACAGACTTCCTAAAGCGGATCAGCCCACCACCTCAAGTTTCCAACAACAATCATGTTCGCCGATGACCTCACAGTCCTGATAAGAGCTTCCGACTCCTCTTTTAAAACGTTAGTTAAAGCAGTGGAAGCATTCAAGTTGGCATCAGAAATGAGGGTAAACTGGGGCAAGACAATCGGATGGTGGTTATCAGACGAAGAGACACCCAATTTGCAAGGACCGGAGGCGGCAATGATGTGGGAGACACCTGACACGCCCACACGTTATCTAGGTGTACTTATGACTAGGGAGGGACTGGCACCCCAGATGGACCAAAACATCCTGACAAAGCAAATAAATAAACTAGGGAGATGGGGAAACTCCTTCACCTCACTGATCGGGCGCGCCATGATTCTTAACACATCGGTGTTCTCCATGATGTGGTACATAGCATCCATATGGACAAGACAATTCAATAAAAGAACTGAACCGCATAGCGAGGGCTTACTTATGGTCGGCAATCCCAATAAAACCGAGACTATCCCAAAGATTGCATGGCAATATATTATTCGAAAACCGTTGCAGGGTGGTCTAGGGATTATAGACCCCGGAACTGCAACAAAAGCCCTACAAACGAAATGGATAGTAAAACTGCTAATCAGACCAGATAATGCTTGAAATGATCTGGTGCTGGACAGCATTAGGGCGCTGGCCCCAGTCCCCTCACCAGAAAACATGTCAGGTCTATTCTGGATTATGAATAGGGAATGGAGTCTACGTCCAAGAAGCAGAAGCTCCAGAAGAGTAACAGATTCAGACACATCAAGACACTCTATATCCTACTGGTCCGCTCTAATCAGAATCTGGAGAGAAATGTTCCCATCAAAAAAGAACAAACCTGTCTCCATCGACGAGGTGCTAAGACAACCACTCTTCGGAAACGACTGGATAAGAGAAGAAAACGACAATCCAATTCATCTAGACCACAAATGGCTCTCTTGGGTCAAGAATGGGGTCTGGACAGTAGGGCACCTGTGGAATGAGGATAGCAAGTGCTGGATGATTGAACAAGAACTAAGTAACAGGTTAAAAGGCTGCCATCGCCGAGGACCTAACCTCCTGCACATCACCGACTGTATCCCTCAGGCTTGGAAAGATATATTGAAGGAAGCATCCCCATGGAAATTTGGTGAATGGGGGATCAAAGTGCAAGAGACTAATCCACTCCGCRCCTTTCAATTTTCACATATGCAACCGGGTTCAAGCACTAAAGCCGTTTTCTCCTCCTTCCCGACAACCCTCTCGCAACAAGGCAGACCAGCAATCGAAAATCAAAATGTGGAAACAACGGCAATGGACTTCTTCTTACTAAGGAAAGTGAGAGTTATAGGCCCATGGCCCAAACAAATCTTCAGACMAGACATGGCAGTGAGGAATTTGGAGTTTGATCCGGCGGAATGGGAATGGAGACCTGATAAGGAGAAAAACATTAAAGCACACACCTCCATACAGAATTACACAGTCAAACTTGGCTACAAGCTCTCAGTCAAAACTAAAAATCGAGAACCAATAATAAAAGCCAGATGGCAGAAATTACTAGGCCATTAGGCAGATAAACTGTCTCACATCCCGTGGAAGAAATATAAGTCCATGAGACCGGTGAAGATCCGAAGCCTCCAGTGGCTAATTACATACACTGCTTTGCCGGTCAATCACTGGCTCCACATACAACGTCACAAGAAGGACCCTACTAGCTCAGAATTATGTGCACTCTGGCCTGATGGAATCCAAGAGAACCTGGTTCATTGTCTCATTCACTGTAAGGAAGCAACAGAATACTGGGCTAGGGCGTCGTGACCAACTAAAAAAAAGAGAAAGGTTGTGGTTCGGCCTCATCAGGAAGGTAACGTTGTGGATCATATGGAAAGAGCGATGCAGCAGAACTATTGAAGGCGTGGCCAACTCAAGAGAAAAGRTAYGGGCAGAGACAAGGACCCTMATGCAAGCCGAAATACTCTGCAGATGGCGAAAGCTACAGCAGTCACTACCGGAAGATGAAAGCCAGCAGGTAACAATCAAGGATAAATTCAGCAAGCTCTGGTTACTGGAAGGGAAGGTGGCTGAATTGYRTAACGATCGGATCTGCTGGAAGGACTGGCATAATTCGGATACGAGCAGGAGATCCCAACGAGACCAAACACACGCAGGGAACAGATAAAAAGATGGGGCGATAGAGGATGGGGACAAGGTAGGCACAACAAGGGTCATGGCGAACTCGAACGGAGTATATACTTCTGATAACAGGTCGAAGGTGAATGAGGCATGGGAAACGTCACTACAGTATTGAAAGAAGGGAAGATACATCCAAACATCGGATGTTCATCCTACCCGAGGAAGCAAGTAGACACTCTCCTGAGGGGGCAAGGGGAAGAAGTCCAATAGTGAAAGCTGCAAAATCATGTGAGGATAGCAGCCACTGGAAAAAAAAAAGGAAATGGGAGAGAAAGTGGAGGTCAGAAATTATAGTTAAGGGTTTAGGGTTTAGGTATTGCATAAACTTAAGAACGAGGGCTTAGGATTTATGGCTTAGACAGAAACAAGGCAAAAGCGGTTATAGAATTATGAAGGATTCATAGGACATATAAGTGTTTCAGAATGGTCTTGTATAATCATGAATACCTGACAGCTTCATAGCTGAGAGGAGCAGATCTAGGATCAGATAGATTGCCAGGCAGAATTAGTGCAGGCTAGATTAGGCAGGGGTGAGAGGTGGTAAATCCTTSCTCAGGGAAGTAATCAATGCTGTCTACTCGGGCCTCTCGACCATAATGGAGAGGAGCGTGTGTGAGTCTTTGATGTATTCCATATTGACTTGCCGGGGGAATAGGAACTGGACTGTCGCTCCCCAGAATGGTAGGAGCCAGAACCGTAAGGTTCTGTTTATTAAAAAAAAAAAAAAAAAAAGCAACTTAATGTCCTTTATCAGTATGGTGCTGCAGTTGTCCAATCCAGAAACAGAGTGAACACAGCATGAGGCATTACTGAACACACATTCCAGCTCCCTATATAAAAATTGGCTTTCCAGATTATAATGTTTTGTCTGTTTCATTGTGGTGTGTGTGCTGCGTGCTGTGACTGCAGAGTTGGAGGCCAAGCTTGTGGCAAAAGAGAACGAGCTGAAGGTGACTAGAAGCATTTACTTGCAGCCTTGAATGCTGGGTTGACCAGGAATATCCATCCTTTTATTGCACGAACAAGCCGCATTTGCTGTACTTGCTGCTGCATCTCACTGTGCTATAAGCAGTGTCTACAATTGCCCCATTTTATGTTTAGTGCAAATTAGTGGTGCTTGAATTCAGGATGCAATAGCGTGGACCAGCTGTTAAAGTATGAGTGGGTATAATGGAAGCACATATATGTGTGAGAGTGACACTCCATGTGGACACAGCAGCAGAATATCCTAGATGTTATGCCTACTTTCAATGAATTGCAGATTTCAGGCAGGTTGTATACTAACTAGGTGTGGCTGTGTCTGATGTTACTTGTTTTGAGCCTTGCGGGACTTTATCCCGGGACCTGAAGTTTGTGTGTGTTGTTAGCTAGCTTTGAGTGCTACCGGGCTTGATCCTTAGATCGGTCGGGAGTACTCTACTTAGCAGTCTTAGGACGTTCAGCCTTGTTTTTTTTGTCCTTTTCTGCTGTTTTCTGGAAGCCCAGTAGACCGTAGGTCTTCACTGATTGGACGGTCGGATAGGAGTGGCTGTTTGGTTTGTCTTAGGACTAGGAGAGGGGGTTGAAGTAGCTTGTGCCCGGGTAGTTTCGGAGGCAGTTTCAGAGGCAGTTTCGAGTTCTTTTCCTTTTTGTTACGATCCTGGCCAATTTCGAAGTATACAAACATCAGAAAGTACAATGCCGTCCAATTGCAAAAAGAAATGAATGAACTTGAGAGGAGAGAGAGGGAAAGGAGGAGTAAGAATGAAGAAGAAGATGATGTACTCCAGCATAGACCAATGACAAGGCTCTTCTTCCTCGCCAACCAATCTCTTCCTCCTTATCCCCTCCCCTCTTATTCAAACAAGAAATAAGAATAATAATGTTGAATGGCCGAACCAGAATCAATGTCTGAATCCCACTTCTACTGCAGGCACAACATGAGGTCCACCATAGCCATGGCCACCCTTCCTCTTCCTCTACATACAGGCCGAGGCTATGGCAGAGGACTGAGTGCTCTCCCTCCTATCCAAAGGACAACCCAAAGCAGCTATGTCGCTGCCCTTCTGTCCCCAGGTCAACTCCCTGCAGCTATGCCGCTGCCTACTCAACCGCCATGCCTGACTCTGTCCCGAGCTTCCTTGATGCGGCACTACCCCCACTGGGGCCTTCCAGATGCAGCGCCAAACAAGGTGATGAAGATGGTGTCTACCATAGCCAGGTAAGTACCCCACCACTCTCCTCCTTGGTCCCCTTCTCCCTCCTCCTCCCACCGGTAGAGTTCCACCATAGCCAAGGTGGAAGCTCCCGGCTTCTTCCTCCTAGCAGCGCTGTAGTACCCAGCGCTACTCCAGCCAGCATTCCAGCAGCGTGTCGCCAAACTTGCACACTGAAGAATGAGGCCGAGCTCTTGCCTAGGCCCCTTGATATAGCGGCCTGCTTGCCTCCTGGGCGGTGACTTCCAGGCCGCTCGGCCTCCCAAGCAACCGGTACCTCCTCCCTTTTCGGAGGGAAACATCATTGCAGACTCTGATATTGCCCGTACAGGCTCTAGACTCAGACTGGATGGACTGGTACTGACCTAGACCCAGCCTACCGCTACTGGGCCTCTAAAAATGCCAACTTTGTCTTCTTCTGCTCGGCCTCGAGTACCCGACACATCTATTGCTACTGGGTGCGGTACCGGCCTACCTGCTACTTGAGAGTTTTTCCGCTGCTCTAAGCACCGCGGGCCCTTGGCTCCGCTACTTGAGTGTTTTCCCTGCTGCAACCCTCAATGCCACGGCCACAGGTAAGTACCGGCCCTACGGGCCTGCCAAACAAGCAAGTACCCTTGCGGGTCACACACACACTCATGCCGACAAGCACTCAGACAGGCACGCAAGTCCACAGGCACGCACACATACCGACTTAGAAACACAGCAGAATGCGGGAATATCAGCAAGGCATCCATTCCATCGGCAAAACTTCAGAAATCGGCAGTGTTCTAAGTCTGTGTTATGGCGGGTCATTACACTACCCCCCCTTCAAGAGCGAGGTCCCTTCGAGCGAGTAACTCAATCAGAGTCCTTGCATAATGCATCATAATTGTAAATAGCAAAGAGAGATCGGGTATGTTCCGTAGGAGTGAGGGTAGCAGTGAATTTAGGCTGATGTTCAAAACTAATCAATCGTTCATAGGCGTTGACGACTCGCGGGGTGCTCTGCAGCAAGTCTTTCTTAGCGATCCAGTAAAAGTCATTCAACGGGTGGTACATAAAAGGGACTTTGTACTGTCTGTTTCTTCCCTTTCCACTGTGCTCAACAATTGTATCAACCTCGTGACCGCCATTGATTGCGTGGGGAATCATTGATTCTGGATATGGAGAAGTTTCAGGTGGTTCATATAGAAACAACTTCGACGCATGAAAGACTGGGTATGTGCGCAGATGAGTAGGCACGTCGATCGTGTAAGAAGGACCAAAGGAATCATTTCCTACTCAGTTCAGCACCTTCCACGGGCCGTAATACTGAGGAAGAAACTTTCGTGATACACCTTCTCCTTCAGAAAACTTAGACATCTTAACCCTAACGTAACTTCCCACTGTGAAAAGGTCAGGCTGGCGCTTTTTGTTTGCATGCTTAATCATGGCACTGCGTCGCCTTTCCATAACTGCGACAGCAACTTTGAGCAAACGATCAAACTTAGCGTTGTAGCCTGGCTGGCCAGGTGTCAGGCCAGGTGGCTGTTCAGGAAACAGATAGGATAGAGGATTGCGAATTTTCCACCCCAGGTGCAGCCGATTAGGTGTCATCCTAGTGGAGGAGTGTATGAAGTTGTTGTTAAACCCCTGCACAATCGGCAACTCCTCATCCTTGGAGTTCTGATCAGGCACAGTTAGAGCTCAGAGAAGTTGGATCACAGTCTGGTTGATCTCCTCGGCCAACCCATTGGCTTCGGGATATCGACCAGATGTCATCTTGAGTTTGATGTCCGATCTGGGAGGTGAAGTCCTTCCAATTGGCACTTGTGAACCTAGTGTCCCGATCACTCACAAGAGTTTTCGGGGGCCCACACTGCAGAATGTACTTCTTATGAAACTCTTTGAACACAAGGTCAGTTGTTGCGTGAGGTGGTAATGGAATCAGATTTAGAAATTTTGAAAAGCGGTCAACGATCACCATTACTTGCGAATATCCATTCCTACTCTTTTTCCCCATGTTCGTGAAGTCGATGGAAAGAGACTCACCCGGGCCATCAGGAATGGGAAGAGGATGCAACAGCCCATAGGGATTTTCCCGAGATGGTTTGATGCGTTGACAGACTTCACACTCAGCCACAAACGTTCGTGCCATTCCTTTCATTCCAGGCCATACAAACTTTCGCAGCAAACTTCCGTATGTTTTCTCAAAACCGAAGTGTCCACTCCGACCATGAGCCAAGTCCAAGAAGTGAGTAAGGATCGGCTCATTGGGTACACAAAGTCGGTCGTGCTTCCCGTAACGTCGGAAAAGTAAGCCTTTACATTCATGGAAATCAGGCTGACTGCTAGGGTCAGCCCGAATCAGCTAAAGGATGGGACCGAGTTCCGGGTCCTTGGCAGTGTGCTCAATGAGTTTCTCCTTCAAATTCTTACGGAGATCATAGGAACCCACAAGGCAAGTCATGTACTCAGGATGGTGAGACAAAGCATCCGCAACGCGATTGTAACAACCTTTCTTGTGCTCAAGTTCAAAATCATACACATCAATCTCATGCAGCCAGCTGGTCAATGTGGTTCATGGATTGATCTGTGTCTGAATCCATTTCAAAGTCTCGTGATCTGAGAACACATTGAAATGACGACCCAAGAGGTTGTGTTTCCAATGATCTAGTGCCTCTCTCAAGGCGTAGAGTTCTCGCATGTAAGTGGAGGCAGCTCCCTTGTGATTGGGCATGCGTTTGTTGTAATATTCAAGCGAACGTAAGCCATCGCCATCATCTTGCTGCAGCACTGCCCCAATCCCATACAAGCTTGCATCCGTAGCTACTACGAATGTAAGTTTGGGATCTGCAATGCGGAGCACCGGACGGGCGATGATAGAGAATTTGGGTACAAACTTACGGTAGTATGACGCAAGACCAAGAAAAGAACGCAACTCGCGGACATTGGCCGGTTGAGGCCAATTGTGGATGACCTCAACTTTGGTTGCCTCGGGCTCTAGGCCTGCAGCAGACAACCGATGTCCAAGGTAGATGATGCTGTCCCACCCTAACTCAAATTTCTCCAAGTTGAGATGGAGTTGCGCATCCTTGAGGATCTGCGACACTTCCTCAAGGTGTCTCATGTGCTCCTCCATCGACTTGCTGAAAATTAGTATGTCGTCCAAATAAACAACAACAAATCGATTGATCTGATTGTGGAACACCTTGTCCATGAGACTTTGGAAGGTGGCTGGTGCATTCGTGAGGCCGAAGGGCATGACGGTAAACTCGTACAAAATGCAGTTTTATGCTGGTCTGCAGGATCGACTTCAATCCGGTGGTAGCCAGACTTGAGATCGATCTTGCTGAAGACCTTGCACCCACCTGCAGCCTCAAGCAGATCGTCAATACGCGGCAAAGGATATGCATTCTTTCTTGTTAATCTATTCAGTCCACGGTAGTCAATACACATCCGTAGTTTGCCTCCTTTCTTTGGGACAAACAGAACCGGTGCACCGAACTCGGATTCGCTTGGCTTGATCCATCCTTTCCCAATCATGTCATCAATCTGTCATCGAACTTCTTTCCTCTTCGAAGGGCGCCCTGCTGCTTGAGGAGGCAACACCTGTAAGAGGTCTTCGAGGTGTTGATACCAGTTTGCAGTGAACCTCCTAGTTCAACACCAGTGAATGCACATATTCACACTTCATGCATATACGAGATCACACGGAGTTCACACTGAAGACCAGAGAGATTAAGACCAGATAATGCAACTTATAAATTCCAACAAGTTATACAAGAGCAATA